TTTTTGTCTAAGGTCTGACAAAGTTGTGTTCAACCAAGTCTGCGCCCACAAGTGCGTGACGGGATGATAAAACACGCGACACGACTCTGGTCCACAACCTGTCCACCCCACCCTGGCCTGCCAGGAGCTCTTTGTTCTCTCTGCCCCCCAGTATCCCGTGCCTGCTGCGAAGCAGGCTGCAGGTCTGGCTGTGGCAACGTGCTGGGTTGTGGTCGTGTTCCCGTGTGCCCTGTGCCGAGGCCCTGCTGGAGATTAGGACTTTTCATATTGGCACTGTCCGTTTGCTTGAGATTATCGGTTTAGCGAATGCTGCCTTGAATTTGTTTATATAAAAACAATCCTTTGATCCACAGGCCAGATGCAAATACTATCTTGTGATTCTGATGGGGATTATGTCGTTACAACATCTTGACATGGTTTTGTTTTTATGCAGCTCAGAATATGAGGGGAGGAGACCTGGCCCTGAGAAGGCTGCCGGGGACTTTCGCACTTGCTCTCTAGCGAACTAAATTAAGTTTGATTTGCTTCAAAGGAGCTGGCCTTCAGAGACGTAAAAGTAACAACTACTAGTGCTGAGTGGGTTGTTTGATTGCACTTCATCTTCTGCAAGCTTGTCTTCCAAAAAAGCCGAAACCATAAAGAAAACCATTTCACCTGCTTTTCATTGTTCCCTAAGAAGTGTAGACAGAAAAGCAAGGCACTTCTGATTCTGCTGCTCGCTCACTGGGGAACCCACTGCTGAGCCTAAAATCATCTTTAGATCTCGCCTGGTTGAGCGTTTGGTTTGGAGAGACCCTGGCTTGACTCAGCGCACGATGCACGTGCAGCGGTGTCCTGCTCGTCCCTGTGAGTCTGCAGAGATTTTTGAGAAAGTTCAAAGCTGTTGCCTGTCTGAGCCCTGCTTGCAGGTTCCTTTGCCGTTCCGGTAACCGGAGATTTTTAGAGCAATTCCCTCCTGGTGGCTTCGATGGTGGAGGAGCGACCTTCTGCAGCCAGCAGGGTGCACGTGGAGGAGAGCAGCTGCCGTGGTCACTGCCCAGCATGTCAAGAGGGAGAAGAATGCCACAGTGGCTGCAACCTGTTCTTTTACCCTAATTCCTGTGTCGCTGAAGCAAATGTAACATTTTCAGTACATGTCTTACCTCTTTTTTTTTTCCCAAATAAGTGACTGTAGGGGACTGCCTAAGATGAAGGAATGTATTTGTGCTTCGTAGTCTAGAAGCTGCACAGCCTTGAGCCGTGTCATCTCTATGGAAGGTTAAGCATGAAACACAGCTTGAGCTGTCCTTCTCATCTACCATAGCGTTTGGTAGGCTTGGCTCATGTTTTGGTAGAGGGGTTTTTGTTTCATTTTAGGTTTGCAGAGCCCTTGGTAGGGGAGGGTGGAGTGTCCTGGATTTTCTTTTTGATAGAAGGCAGTTGACTTGGATCACTTGCTGCCCAGGAGATCAGTCTCTCAATGAAACTTTTCCACAGATGAAGTGTTTATTTTCTGAATAGCTGGAATGCCCTGAATTGCCAGAAGCACCACCGAGTGAGATGTACGCAGTGCAAAGCTGACCTCAGGTGCACACAAACTGCTCATTCCAAGTGCTACCAGACCGGTCTCATGGATAAACATTTTTTGCAACCCAAAGCCAGAGCTCAGTGTGCACTCAGACTTGCAGACCAAACTGGTAGTGTTTAGCCAGTTTGTCATCGAGTCTGTTTTTAATGCGTGAATAATGGTGGTGGCATCAAGGCCAGGCTATGAAATGTTTCAACAGCTGTGTTGTCTCTGCAAGGTGTTTTGATCCGGTTCGAATGAAACTGAAAGCACTGTGTGATCCTTTTGTCCAATTGAAAACAGAACTTGCACTTAAATTTTCAATTACATTTTAAATACTGAAGAAATGGGAGTAAGTTTGTGGGTTGTGGTAGTGGGGGTTGATGTTTATTTTCCCCACCACTAAAAGATTTTTTGACATATTTAGCATGAGTGGAGGCTAGAGAAGACTTACAAAACCTCTGTTACAGTGGCATCATCAGCTGCCTTCATTAAACCAGTGTTATGACACCCGTTTGAACAGGACTTAAGAAAACTTGTAGCTCTTCCACTTGGGCCAAGCGTCCTCGCTCTTAACTGAAAGGTTCAGCAGGACCTACGTGGCTCCTCTACGTAATTCCTCGGAGATCTCCTTGTAAGACCCTGTTACTCCATGAGATACTCTGCATACCTTTTGGCAACTGCGAGGCAGTGTTGCATGCACCATTCCGTGACCCTGATTTCTCCTTGCCTGAACTGGTCAGTAAATTCAGCGACTGGCAGCAGAACTTAAGACAGTTCTACCGTTACAGTAAATACCAGACCTTGTGAAGACTGACAGCAGGAGGAGCTGGTGTGTTTAACTGCTAAGAAACAGGTCCAGGGACTCCTGTAGTATTTTCAGCTCCTTGAAGAGGATGTAGGTGTATGTTTTCCTATAAGCTGTCTGGCAAGTTCATGTTGAATTTTTGTAAAACACTCGGATGAGCCACTGAAGTGGCTCCTTTTGCTTTCCTGAGAGTTGCAGTCAGCCCTGAAGTGCTGTGTCTAAAGGACACGGGTAGCACAACTTTGTTTTAAAACTGCCGGAGCTCGGGGGAGGCCCAGCAGCAACTCCACATAACTGAACGTGTGTCTCTTTGGGAGTGATTGTGTTTTACTTACCTGTAGGATTTTTGAAGCTGTTGCCCTGAGTGTTTCTTTGCAACACGTAGAACTAATGGCCTGAGGAGCTGAGCTGCTGTCAGAGCTGGTGCTGCTTGTTACTCTTAACTAATACTACTTAGTATTGTTCTTGCCATGACTTATCTTGGCTATTTCACAACTGGAAAATGGGATGAATTCTTAGAAATTAAGCAGAGTTTATTTAAGATATTAGAAACTATTTTAAGACTTGGTGCAAGGGTGATATCATCAATTTGGGTAAATGGCCTTGTGATATTCACCTGCCGCGGTGGTGGTCACCTGCAGAAATGTTGTGCTGCTGGCAACCTGCCGCAGCATTAACGCCGGCACAATCCAGCTACTTGTCGAAGGACCATAGTCTGATCTCAGAGGCAGTAATTTAAAATAAATAAAATTCCTCAAGCGGTTTGCTAAAGCGATTATAGTTATTGACCCTCTGCAGCCCAGAGTAGAGATTATGGGGTGAATTTAGAATGTCACCAGCCTGTTTGGATGATTAGTAAGAACTGCTTGAGTACTAGAACAAAAAGCGTGCTTTGCAAAAACACTATGTTACCTTGATTAAATGGAGAGTCCCAGCTCTCCAACTTTTCTCATACCAGACACGCTCCAGTCCGATTTAATCATCTTAGTGGCCCTTCACTGGCCTCTCTTCTGTAGCTCCATCTCTTTTGTACTGGGGAGCCCAACACAGGACCCAGCACTCCAGATGTGTCTCAGCAGTGCTGAAGAGAGGGAGAGGACCACCCCTCTCAGCCTGCTGGCAATGCTCTGCATAACGCAGCCCAGGATGCTCTTGATGATCATCTTTGTTGCAAGGACACGTTGCTGGTTCGTGTTCAACTTGTTGGCCACCAGAACCCCAAGGGCTTTTCCCTCAGAGCTGGCTTCCAGCCAGTTGGCCTCTACTGTACTTTGCACTTCCTCTTGTTGAACTTCCTGAGATTCTTGTCTGCTCATTTCTCCAGCCTGTCCAGGTCCCTCTGGATGGCATCACAAGCCTCTGGTGCTATCAGGCACTCCTCCCAGTTTTGCGTTATGTGCACACTTGCTGCGGGTGTGTTCTGCTCCATCATTTAGGTCATTAATGAAGATGTTTGACAGTATTGACCTCAGCGTCAGCTGCTGGGGGCTACCGCTGGTGACTGGCCTCCAGTTGGCCTTTGTGCTATCGATCACCACCCTCTGAGCCTGGCTGTTCAGCCAGTTTTCCATCCACCTCACTGTGCGGTTATCTGACCTGTGCCTTGTCAGCTTGTCTGTGAGGATGTTACGGGAGATGGCGTTAAAAACCGTATTAAAGTCAAAGTCAACAGCATCAGCTGCTCTTGCTGCACATGTTAGGTCGGGGGGACCTAATAGCTGCCTTCCAATACCTGAAGGGAACCTTCATGGCTGTTCAGCCAGTTTTCCATCCACCTCACTGTGCGGTTATCTGACCTGTGCCTTGTCAGCTTGTCTGTGAGGATGTTACGGGAGATGGCGTTAAAAACCGTATTAAAGTCAAAGTCAACAGCATCAGCTGCTCTTGCTGCACATGTTAGGTCGGGGGGCCCTAATAGCTGCCTTCCAATACCTGAAGGGAACCTACAAGAAGGTTGGGGAGGGACTTTTTACAAGAGTGTCCACTGATAGGACAAGGGGAAATGGGTTTAAGTTGAAGGAGAACAGATTTAGATTAGATCTTAGGAAGAAATTTATGAGAAGCTCAACATGAGCCGGCAGTGCGCTCGTGCGGCCCAGAAGGCCACCCGCATCCTGGGATGTATCAAGAGAAACATTCAAGGCGAAGTTGGACAGAGCCTTGAGTAGCCTGATCTACTTCAGAGGCGTCCTTGCCCATGACAGGGAGGTTGGATTAAATGATCTTTAAGGTCCCTTCCAGCCTCTGCCATTCTATGATTCCATGATCCACCAAGCCCATCAAGGTTTATCAGCTTGGCTAAGCGTTACTTGCTTGAAGGAAATCCAGAGTCACGGTGGTCTGGTGCTAACCCTTACGAAAGCCAGTTTGATGGTGTGAATAGATAAAGCTGCTTCTAGTTCTTATGCCTTGAGTCTCCTTCAGGGGACTAAAGTTTGCAATTGAAGAGCTCTTCCTTTTAGGTTCTAAGTTGCACTGACTCGATGCCATGTGGGTGCCTTAACTAACTGCAAAAATAATTCTTGGGAAAAAAACACCCTTATCTGTGTTTGATAACATTACAGTGTTGTCCTTACCATGTTGGTTTTAAATTTTGGATTAAGATTAACTTCATCCAATGCTAACATTTCCTTTGATTTCTCATAGATACTTCAGCTTCTGGGCCAACAGTTGTAGAAAATGGTGACCATGGAATAGAAGATCACCGCACAGGTACGTGCTTAACAGCTGAAGGAAACACGTTGACTTTTCTTGGAGCAGCAAAAGCTTGTTGTGACCAAATGCATCATCTTTTTGAGTCTTACTTCTTCATGGGGAGTTGGTTTTGATTTCTAATGATCTTTGCAAA